TTAATTAGTAAAAACCTTCATACTTTATAAATATTAGTAAAAATGTCAAAATGTCATTATTTTAGAAAAGATTGTGTATCCTAATTTACTTCCTATTTTATCTCACTTTAATTACACATTTTTCAATTAATTCTCTCTCATATGTTTTTAAAAAAAGTGAATATTTTCTCTCTCATAATTTCATCTTCCAATTCTTCTCCATTTCAAAGCCCGCCTCTCTCTGTTCCTTCTTGTTTGTTTTTTTTTTCTTTCATGACTCTAGATAGGAAGGAGTGGAGGTCGCGTATTAAGGTTGAAGGTTAGTAGGGCTAGCGTATTGTCTCTCCTTGCAAGGGTAGGGGTTGTTAGCGTGTGTAGTAGTCCTAGTCTTGCACTTGCAGTTCTTGTCTGTGATATCTATAGCCTTATGTTGTTTAATGTGTTTCACTTCTCTCATTGTTTATTGATGTTACTGTCTTCCTTTGTTGATTGTATACTATCTTTCGTATTGGATGGTATGTATATACACTGTTTTCCTCGCCTTTTACTTGGATTTGATGTACTTGAGCTGAGGGTCTTTCGGAAACAGCCTCTCTACCTCGCACGAGGTAGTGGCAAGGTCTGCGTACACTTTACCCTCCTCAGACCCCACCTAGTGGGATTTCACTGGGTATGTTGTTGTTGTTGTAAATTGGAAAGTATATTTTATAAGATATTCACACAATCCCTTTGATTAAGGTATGCATCTTTATTCGTTTTTTAAGATTTATTTTATGATTTTATTTTTATTTAAATCGTTCAAAATTGCTGTTTGTAGTTGAAATCGAGTTTAGGGTTTGATAAACTCTAAATCACTCTCCAATGGCAGAATCTAAGAGAATTACTAGAGGTGTCCAACTTAATCAACAATTTTCTAGCAATTTTTCATCATTTAATCCACGTATTACTCAAGAAATGGCGGATAATGTAGGATCCGTTGCTAAAATGATGGAAGAGAGACGATCGAAATATTGTTGTGGATATTTTGTTAGTTTTGATAAAATACCACATATTTGGAATCACCATTTTCTAGGTATGTACATTGGTATGTATTATGTAAATTAAGAATATTTTTATTCTTTAGATAATGATGCTATTTCAAATTGTATTAATGAATTCTTATTGGATGATTTTGTATTCATCATGGTATATTTGTTGTATATGTGTTGTGTGATTTTATAAGTTACTGTACTTATAGGTTTTTGTATTCACTATGCTCTGTATATCATTTTCTAGTTATGGACATTGTAAGAGTGTTGTTTGTATCCAATTAAGTAGAGATACATATTAACTTATACATTTGTATTTCTTTAAAACAAATAGTGATGATATTTTAGATTGTACTCGCTCCTTATTATTTGATTGTTTTGTATTCATTATGGCATATTTGTTGTGGTTGTGTTATGAGCTTTACAAGTTATTGTATTTACATGTGTTTGTATTCATTATGCTATGCATAACTCTTTCAAGTCAAAGTCAAAGTCGGGTAGACTAAGATGGAGTTTATTTTACAGTTGTTCCAGTATCATTTTCTAGTTATGGACATTGCAAGAGTGTTGTTTGTATCCAGTCAAGTTAAGATACATATTAACTTCATACATTTGTATTCATTTTAAACAAACAATGATGATTTTTTAGATTCTATTCAGTATGGCATATTTGGTGTATTCATTAGATCATAATAATTATTGTATTTGTCTTGTGTGGATTATAAGTTACATTGGTATAAATTTGTATTTATGTGATGTGGTTTCTAAGATACAATGTAGTTCAACAAACAGAAAACAAATAACCAAAAAAATAAATGAAAATACAGTACAATTGTCGTAAAAAATTGTACCCGCCCCAATTTATTTGTCGTAGGGATACAATTTGATTCAAAAATTAAAAACAAACAGCCAATGAAAAAAAACATGTCTTCAAACAATCCATTATTATTTTCGTATTCAACAAGCAAAAAAATTCAACGAATCCACCAAAACTAATTATTCATACATTGTTCATAATACATACAATTTACAATGAAAATAAATACAGTTTACAATTATGTAAAAAAATTCAAAATTATAATCAATTAGAAACAGATTAAGGATGAAGCAATTAACTAATACATGATCCAATTTGTATTCCACCAATTTTATCGAACTTCTAGCAGAAAAATCATTCTCCAAAGCTGCTTGCCAACAATTTTTTTTAATTTTATCCTATTTCGTTCAAATCTATCTTACCAAATAGAAAAAAAATAGATTTTAATCAAAATAAATTGATTAGAGGTTGCGTATTTTCAATTGAATCTTGAATATCGATAATGAGAAAATTGATCAACAATGGGTCGCCGATGAAGTATTCAATTTTGATTTTTGTAACTAATGAGACTTTTAAGGGACTGTTCCTTTTTAAAATTATTATCTCCCATAAACTTCTCCTTTCTGTTATTTAACAATTGTATTCTTTCTATTAAAACAAATAATGAAAACTTAAATAAGATACATAATAAACTATTTTTTGACATTTTTACTAAATATTGAAAGTGTTGACAATGGATCCTATTAAATGTTTAAATATTGACATTTTGAAAAATTTCCCTTTATTATTACATAACCTAACTCATAAATGGGGATCCAACTAAAATTCATACTTGCCCCGACTGATTGTCCATCTAAATTTTTTTTTCTTTTCATTAATATAATTTTTCCTCTCAATTATCCAAATGTCTTGTTCATTTTCTCTTTTATTCCTTTTTGTAATATGTTATTCTTAATTAGGAAATCCGGGACTCAAACTTGAAATGAACTCACATATTTATATTCTTTTAATTAGTATTATTGTCATGATGGGATGAGGGTGAGGATACGAGAAATGATTATTTTTATTCTTATATTTTTAATTTTGGGTACACAAGAAAGAAAAATGTAATATTTGTACATATTTGTTTAATTAAGTCATCTTTTATTGAACTAATTATTTTTATATGAATGCATCGTTATTTTCCTCCTTTTTTTTCTCTCTTGTTTGTCATAAATTTTAAAAAAATGGTGGACAAGATCCAAATAGAAAAAAAAATGGAAGAGATAGGAAGTGAAGGGCCCGGAAGGGAGGAGTGTAGAGAGTAGATGCCTAACCTTTTTATAATTTTAAATTTACTATGAAATTCAAAATCAAGTCAATCATGTGAACTTATATATTAAGTAATTTCAAATTATTTTAACGGAAAAGGGGCTAAAATGTCCTTAAACTATGAGATTTGGTACAATATTACCCTTGATCCACCTAATGAGTATGATATGTTAGACATAAGGGTATTTTTTACCAAAAAAGTGGAAGTCAGGGGTATTTTAGGACCGATAGGTGGATGGAGGGTAATTTTGTACCAATTCAAATACTTGAGGGGCATTTTAGGCCCTTCTCCATTATTAAATTACTTAATCGTAGAAAATTGGTATAGTTTCATCCGTGGTCAGTGTATTATATGATGTTATTGAGGGTATAAAATTAACTTAATGAACGAAGCAATAGTAAATTTAGCTATTACAATCAAAGCTGTTGGATTTCAATGATATTGAAGTATCAAGATGAATTGTAACTTTTCAAAGAGAATTTTTAGATGATGTAGACTCACATTCACTTTAGTTACTTCTTGTACTATTTATTCTTCAGCCGAGGGTCCATTTAAACCGTCTCTCTAAATAAGGTTTGCATACACTTTAACGTCTTCAAACCCCACTTCGTAGGATTACACGTGATATGTCTATGTTGTTGTAGGCTCATCTTTAGATGTAACAGAATCCTCATAAGAAGATTTGCTTCCTTCTCCCAGAGCCTAATACAGTACTAGCACTTTTTTCCTTCTTCAGAATGAAACATAACGTGGGGGGTACTGTTCTGAGAGAAGGATACCACTCTGAGAAGTTCATTTATATCAACATGTCGATGATTTTCCCAGTAACGTTTACATGAAACCACCCAACGTGTGCACAAAGGGAAGACAAGCAAGTTCAAAGACTGTAAATATAGATAACATTTAGTTTGGATATTTCATCCAGGGAAGACATGCAAAGTTCAGACGAGAAATTCTGGAAAAGGGAGATAAGCTGCATTAAGTTGAAAAAAATACACCATATAACCCCTGATCCATTATCAGATATAGGGAAAGAGCAAATGCAACTTCAAAATGACTACACCTGGTTTTTCTTACAACAACTAGAGAGGTCCGATAAAGAGTCTTAACTGGTAAGACCTGCAACTGATAGAAACATCTTTCCTCCTGTTAGAGATGGGCTACTAAGTTCTCCAGGAAAGGCTTGACAACGCCAATTTGACCAAGGGAGGAGAAGACAGGAGTTGCACAAAGCTACATTACATCTACTAACTACCTGAGCAAGGTGCTCCATCTTTCGGTTCACATTTGATAGCTACAGTAGGAGTTGTCTCATCTGCACATTGATGCATCTGATTGTCATCCTTCTCGTCCTTAGACAGAGGTTCAAGCTCTACTTTCTCGGGAGTCGTTCTAGGAATATTTTGTTTCATAGGGGTTGTCTCATCTGAGCATTGGTGCATCTGATTGTCATTCCTATCAAGAGATTCAAGCTCTACTTCCTCTGGAATCACTGCAGGAATATTCTGCAGCACAAATGACAGGTACGAAGCTTGCTGTAGGAGCTTTCTTTTCTCCAGATGCTGGAAAAGAGTAAACACCAAGGGGTTAAGGAAACACTTTCCTTTCTTTGCAGAATGGACCAGGATGAAGAACAGCGAGACAACAGTACACACAGACAAAATTAGGGCATGAAGGATGAGATGATAAAAGAGGAACATAGGGGTTAGGATGAAATTGGTGATCATAGAAAGTAATGCTAGTGACCAAACACAGAAGCTTGATTCCAAATCTGTGCTAAATTTGCCATCCTTGGGACTGGTTTGGCATTCTGTCAAATACGATAAATTTAGTCACCCAAAAAATAATAAGGAAAAAAGGATATTCATGTCTCCATCCTTTCTCATTTGCTCGATCAATGAGTTTTTGCAACAATTCCAGCTCTCGAGCAATCCTCTGACATTAAAAGTGAAGGTGTCACCAGATATTTAGATGTTTCGCAAATATATTGATTCAAGATAAAAATAAACAGGTCGCTAGTATTTTCATGTTACCGAAATGGAAGCTGAAATCATTTTATCATGCAAATGGAGTATAAATTCATAGAGCTACAAACAATCCAAATCAACAAGGAGTTCCCAAGGAAATAAATTATCCAACTTTAAAAGTAACTTAGTAAGATTGAAACCATACATGCTTTGTGATGTCCTCGTGAAGGATTTTAGCTTTCTGTTCAAGCTCCACCTGCAAATAGGAGTCAAAGTTAAGTACTAAACGGATTTGGAATTCAGCTGAATCTATAAATCTATAACTGAAAAACTTGAGGAATTGAACTTATATCTTTTCAGAAATGTAGAAGACTAAAATAAAAGTAGCAGATCTCTAATAGCTCAAACATTTAATAGAGGTGACACACAATTCAAAATGGTATCAGAGCAAGAATTTATTTTTCGATTTGAGCCTCACCACAACCCATCACTAAGAACTCCTCCCGTGGTTCAGGGATATATCCATGCCCACAAGTAAGGAGGATGAAAAACCAAATGCAAATTAGATAAATGTATTCCCTTTCTAGTAGCTTAAGATTTTAAATGAAGTGGTACAAATTAAAAGGACTCACCATCCAGTAAAATGAGAACTACAAAAGCACTGTGTCAGACTGGTAAGCTGGAAGATTCCCTCATTATCTCCCACACTAGGAAAGAAATGTACTGATCCACGTAACCCACTATTGAATCATGTTGTTTGGTTGATCTGCAGTAGTGATCTATCTTGCGACCCTCCCACTAATGCAATTCTAAAGTTGTCTCATCCTTTTGGAGAAAAAGAATATTCATGTAACATGTAGATGATGGGAAAACACTTTTTTTGAGGTGGTGATGTAGAGTTTGCTAAAAAAGAAAGAAGACAATGGGTTTCAGTGATGCATGCTTTTTATTTAGAATGGAAAACTATCAAGTGACGGAATAATTAGTGATAGAGACCAGGACGGGAGAAACTAAATTATCAACATATTCGCATTACAGCGACTCATTTTACATCAACAACCTAAAATGACAAGGGACAAGGATTAGAAGAAGAAGAAGATTGAGAATTCACTTGGCCACTCCAGTAAGCTCCCTATATCTAAGTCTTTTTCAAAACTGGTTAAGAACTGGGTGCCACTAACCCAGCCAAGATCTACCAAGGTTCTAATAGTTCCTTCCCAACAGAGGGGTATTTGAAAGATAGTCACTCTGAGGGAAACGAGCACGTGGTATGTTGCAAGCAGCATTCTGCCTGAAGATCTGAGACTGAAGAAACTAGCTCCCACTCAATCCATAATGAAAAAGAAATTGGGTTGTCTTAGAGGTAACCAGAACTTGCACTGAGCAGAGTGGAAAGAGAGAGCACTTTTTGGACAAGTCATTTATATGCTGGAAACGATAGTTAAACAAATTAGAGCTTTCAGTCATACAATAATATCTTGACTATGTTTCAACGTAATGGTTATGTCAAACTGCAAGCAAGAAAACCTTACAATTGTAAGCTTTTCAAGCAGACCTGCTTTCACCTTCTCCTTCAGATCATCGCATTCTTCCTGAAAAACAGAGAAAAATGTCAAAAACATTGAATAGAAGGGTTAACCACAAAAGCTTCTTGGTAGAGCTTAGTCACTGGGTAGTTCCACACAGCTAAGATGCTTCTCAAGTATAGAGGAATACATGTGACCTATGTTGCTCAAACTCTTCAAAAATGTCGACCGGTGTGTGTCGGATCCTCCAAAAACAGTGTATTTTTGAAGGATCTGACACGAGTGCTGCAACATTTTTGGAGAGTCCAAGCAACTTAGCATGTGACAGCTTCAAATCAACTAAGGGTGAGATGCTACATTGTATTCTGAAGAAACAAAATAATAGCTTCCGCTAAGATATAAACTACCAGAAACGTTCAATCAGTCTTTCCCTCAGTTCAAGAAATACTCAAAATGATCCTCAGAATTCTCAACTGTAAAGTCAATGGGAAAGGGAATAATCAGTAGGAAACCTCCTATAAGGTCTATTTTTTGGATAAGCAATTCCCATTAATGTAAAACCAACAGTTGCTCAAAAGACTGTCCAATAATATGAGTACTACAATTACACGTGACAGTCCAGCAGTTCTAGAATGCTATCAAACATTTATCGCTTGTGATATTTTAAATTCTTTCCAATTTTATGATCACACAGAACAACCTCAGCTTTCACAAAGTTGAGAACATTGGTAACCACATAAATCCACTCTTCAGTCACTGAATTTGGTTTTTACCGTAACTAGAAAACATGTAAGGGTAAGGTCCGGGTACACTTTACCTTCCCTAAACCCCGCATAGGGAATGCACTGGGTTTGTTGACATTGTTGTTGTACTGTAACTAAAAAACGTAAGAAGTTACGATTTCTGTGATGCAGATTATAACTTGAAGACGGGTTAAAAAACTATTTACTTCCATTTTGAAATAGAAAGGGAGAACTATTCCACATGCCAAACTTCCTAATCATCGGCTGCAATAGGGATCTTTTCCAAGGGTGAAATCTACTATGATGCTACTAATACAAAATCTGAGACGGACAATGATAACAACTTCTCAAAAAAATAAAAAACCTTTAATCTTTTAAAATCATCAAAACAAATATGGCCTAGAAAATAACCAACATCCAAAAGTAACAACTTTTTTGCAGTCTGCTTTTAGCAGTTTGGAATCTAAAACTAAATTAGAAGAGCGACACATATTTGTACATGGCAAGACTCTGGTTAAAAACATTTAATATCTGTATAATGATTGTATTGATAGAATGATCATACAAGTGTTGTGTATATCTGCTCCTCAAAATCAGCAGTACAGTAGACTTCTGAGCAGGCATACGAAAATATTCACAGTCGCTTGTTATATAAATAGCTGACATTATAAGTAGAGATTCCATAGCAGATACCTCAAAATATGAAGTAGGTTACCTTACAAAACTCATCATCTGAAAGCATGGTCAAGCTAACATCTCTGGCCATATTTGAAACTTGAATTAAAGTCTCGCTGTTGCACTTATCACTTGATCTGAGCTTGATCCCTGAAACACTCGCTTAAACAAGAAAGATGTCAGTTTGAAAGCAAAATTGGTGCTCAAGATTAAGATTTCAATGGAAGATAATAATCTATAATAAGACTTGGAAGATGAGAAAAAGATTATGTTCATTGCCTCACTCTTTCCATCCCATTTACTTGACTTGCTTGCCTTTTTCCCTTCCAAATTTACTGAACTTCTTTAATAGATTGATTTATCTTATTTCATCACGTTATATCTTTTCATCGATCTATTCCACTCTATTTACATATCAAATTTCTACTTCCAATTTATTAAAATCCTATTTGATTTATATTATAGTAACCTATTTATAATTTTCTCTCTCAACCTTTGGTGATAGTCAAACTAGGTCTTCTACTTTTCTTCTTTGGGTTAAATAGAGTAACTTGTTTTTAGCAAAGAACATCATCCGTCACGAAAATAGTGGCATGATCTGGAATCAACTCATCTGATTCTCTACGTGAATTCTGGCATCGATGCTTTTACAATATTTAAAATATAATAACATATTTGAAAACTACATATTAATTACTGCTAATCACAATTACTTTGGTAAAAACTAATCAACTTCTTTTAACATATGGCAGTCAAAGAAAGAAACAATTTGACTACCCAGATAGTAATAGTACCATACAACATGGGCAGACAAAGTATAATAAATTGTAAAGAAGGTTTATATACTTCAAACAAAATATAGAGGGTGTTAAGAATGAACTCTTCTCTCAATATTAGCAACAAAGCAATGACCAAAGGAAATTCAGCCCATGGAAAGATGAGAAGAGTTTCGAGTTTCAACATTTATTTCATGTGCTTGAACATATTATCAATGTCAAGTTAACAACAAGAAGTGTAAACAAAGTTGATTGAGGAAACCATAATCATTTATGTTAGAGAAAAAACAGGTGTTCTGGCTAGTTAATGTCCAATTATCCAAAATCTCCGTATGGAAGACATGAGCATAATGCAGCATTCAGACATATTCACAGCAGTCCACCGAGGGATTTTAGCAACTATTTCAAGACAAATCAAAGAACGTAAGTCATTTATTAAAACAACCTGCAATTTGCACAAGCTGATGAGAGTTACGCTGCTCATAGTCACGTGGATCTAACTTGAGCCGAACAAAACTTCCTATAATCTTGGTTTCAATGGACTCGGGCTGCTTGATCATCTCCTGCACTAAGCTCCTCTTCAGGTAAACGAGTTTGATATTTTCAGGAATCAAGGCTGCATATTGACTTTGTGCTGCAGTTGAATACCAAATTGAGGATATCTTCTTTTGTTCAACCTTTTTCTCAGTTTTAGGAGCCACCAAAATTTCTGTGTCATCGTCTTCAAGATCATGATCAAGCTCATCCTTTTGTAATTGCTCCTCATTTTCAAGAAAATGGCTTTCAAGGAGGCTAAATATTCTGTGTCTGTTTACCACTTTCTTCCCAAAAACAGCTTGTAACCGAACATCACAAAGGATTCTTCTCTTTTTAACTGGATGGATTAGGTTATGTTCTTTTATATATTTGGTTACTATTGATGTGACATCATATTGGGATAATTTTTCTCTGGTATCTTGACCAGTAAACTGAAGAAAGTCAATAAGAGCTTTTGATCCCCATCCAACAAATACTTTTTTTCTTTGAATTGACACTTCTTTGCATCTTTGTTTTCTGCTGTGTACATCTCTTCTTTTTAAGCCTTTTCTTCTGAGGTTCTCCGTCACTGAAATCTCCATTGTCTGAAGAAATCTGCTCATCCTCTTCTTCACTGTGTTCGTTCTCTTCTTCACTACGTTTATCTGAATCAGAGCTAATTTGGCAAATCTTCTCCTTATTTAGTTTAGCCTTACCAGCAAGGAGACTATTCTTGTCAAATCCTTCTTTTTCTTTTACTATCTCGTAATACTCCTTGAAAAGGCCCTCGTATGTTTCCCGATCTCTGAGGTCTACACTTTCCTGGAAAGCAACAATAATTCATATGAGAAATGGAATAGATCACTCATCAACTAGAGGAAAAATAAAGCAAATAAGAGAATATTGCCAATTAATAGTGATAAACACGCAAATTGTAATCTCACATGCTCATACAGAGGAACATAAGCTGTTAATCAAGTTTGTGACACAACAAGATCAATCGTGATAATATCCATCTCACATATTGCTAGATTACTGATCTTTGGCCCTGGAAACTTATTTGGAAGACCAAAATGCCTACCAAGATCATCCGTTTTTGTTGGATTGCTCTCCAGGAAGCATGTTCAAGACAAGTTAATCTCAAAAAAGAGGTTTTGATCTGGATAATAAATGATACATGTGTCAGAATAGCACAGAAACAGTCAATACCTGCTCCTTTACTGTGCAGTGGCCAACGGCCTATCACCTATTGGTCATGCCACAAAATGTGACAGAAGCCTAAGGCGTCATGCTATTAACATTCAAGCTGTTTGCCTGGGCTAGTTTAGTTAATAGTTTCCATGACAAGTTCTCTTCGGGTGTGACAATAAACATTTCCAAAATAGTATAGTAACTAACTAGTTAATACTGAACCAAAAAATTACAGTTTCAGAGTAACCATAATAATCATGCATACCCCATCAGAATCAATATTTCTGTCTTCTTCCACAAGCAATGCGAGCTTTAGGCAGTTATTGCAGAATCCATGCTTCCCTTTAAGAAGGACAAAATTGATACGACCAATGCAGCGAGAGCATACAGCTCTATCACAACAATAACATTGATAATTTGAACTTTTCTGGCAAACTAAGCATGTATGCCATCCTGGAACACGGTAAAACTGATATTACTTTTTGCACAACAATTTTTATTCTATTTAATGAAAAGCAAGTAAGCAACACATGACCAGTGAAACTAACAAGACAAAATACGCCAACAATAAATAAGTACTCAAACTTCAAATATTTGAATGCAATCTACATTACCGCCCATGGAGTGTGGCCTTCCCTGGAGCATGTGTGAACGCGGGAAGCTTCATGCACCAGACTACCCTTTTAATCTAATGTCTTTAAGTGATAGATGTACTTATGTATTTCAGAAAAAGTTACCACAGATTACGGATCCTCTAACATTGTGGTCGTCATTCCAAAAAGTGGTGCAGTAACAACTTGGAGCCAAATTAAGCAATTACATTTATTCCAATATTGTTCTGTAATAGAGAAGCAGATTTTGTTTTCTAAATCAAACTCCAACAATCAAGAAAAACATGACTACAATAATTGCAGTATAGTACTATTTAAGCCCTTTATATTCTCTTGGCTAATATGTATTAATCATATTCTTATCAAGGTTTGTTAAGCATACAACACACGTCCGCTAAAGGAACCTATCCCTGGAGAATTTAGGTTGTGGATAAGTGATGAAATTCAAACTTGTATCTACAAGTTCTTATAAAAATTTATTTATACATGTAGAAATGGCAAAGACAGTTTATTTTCCAGTGATTATTTCAAAAAAATCTCAATATAACAGAAACTCAAAATTCAATTGCCTTTTTCGCTCAATATAAACTATGTTCTTTCATGCTCAACTTTGGTTAGTCAAAATCAATAAACTAGCAAAAGGAAAAAAACCACTCAGACAAAACAAAAGGAGAAAGATAAAATTCAGAAATATTAAATTTGCTTGAAGAAGGATAAATTAAGATGCTTGCCACATATCCAATGGATATCACTTGTCAAGACTGAGTCATCTTTCCCCACACATGCAGGGTGATAAGCTTTCAAACAGTCCCTGCAAAGTCAAAAATATATTATTAGTAGAAGTCCATGAAGAGAAAGAATCACCAAGTCACAGGGTGAACATCAGCAGCAAAGGTAATCAGTCACAGTCAACTACTTTCAATCCTTTGAATTTCAAAAATGAAAGGAAAGAAACTGCAATCGTGACAGGAATGCATGAACCCCGCCAAACTGAATTTCACTTTGTAGTGAAGATTACTTGCATTTGTTAAATTAGAGGGCTTACAAATCATTACTTGATTAAAACACAGAAGTGCTTTAGTAGCATAAGTAGTGTGCCAGCGTTTCTCGGAGATGCACAATTTATTTTGTCTGCACTTTCACTCTCTCAATTGCACATGACCTCAGTTGTTCATTAGAGAGAGAGGTTGGTTTCAATTTTTGTACCATATTAGACCAGAGACAATTAACTGGAACGCCTAATGAATACCATTGCAGAGTACCAAGCAAAAAGAGAAAAGGCTAGCCAAAACAAAGACTACCTAGCTAATTTCTAGGCGATATACTGCTTATATCATTGATTTTCTGAAGCTTTTAACATGAAATTATATAAAAAGAAAAGCAGTGCTCATCTCAAAAGATGAATGACCAGCAAGTAGAGCATGAGTTTAAAGAATCACAATCCACTCTAGCATCCAAGGAATTATAGATTTATTTGTGCTTTATACAAGTGAAGTAGAGCAGAAAACTGAAAGAACCAACCTGTTTATAACATGACATTACAAAACAGAAATGTTTGCAAGCAACATTGATTTTATCCAAGAATTTTTTTGGTTTATCAAACAAGAAAAAAATAAAACAATAAATAAATAAATATATATATGTTTTTTTTTTTTTTTTTTAATTTAATAATGGAGAAATACTGAAGAGTCAGCTAATAGCTAATGCACAATTTCAAAAAAAAAAAAAAAAGACATAACAAATAACAGATGACCAAGAACCTAGGATTCCAAGAAGAGGGGCAATTTTGACCTTAAATTGGAAAATGCGTCCTTTTCAAGCCAGATAAATTAATAATTACAGTTTCCAAACAATGTCCCACGTTTTCATCCAGAAAACAAAAATATAATTTTTATATTCAAGACCAGCTTTGAGAGAATTTCGTTTGTTCCAAAATAAAATTGATTTATTTTAATTTTTTTAGGAAGAAGAATTTACCCATAATCACAAATCATGAGCTTTCCTCCATCTTTACATTCAAAGCACCAATCTTCTGCAATTTCTGATTTGTTCAAAGTCGTCTTACCCCTCTTCTTTGCCATTTATACCAGATACCCACTTCACTGTAATCAAGAAAAAGCCCCTTGTTCAGTTCATATAAACAAAAGGACTAAAATGCAGCTATACCCACCCATTCTTGCTGTAATTTTTTTTGCAGAAATAGTATATACATTGGCAGATAAAGAAAATCAAAACCAAGAACAAAAATCAGCTTATTCTAAAGAAACCCCAAGAACTCATAACAAAAAATTCTAAAGAAACCCCAACAATCATAACTAAAAAATCTAAAGAAACCCCAAGAATCGTAACAAAAAATCTAAAGAAACCCCAAGAATCATAACAAAAACTTTTAAAGAAATCCCAAGAATCATAACAAAAAAATCTAAGGAAACCCCAAGAATCATAACAAAAACTTCTAAAAAATCCCAAGAAGTCATAACAAAAATTACAGATTTTCAAGAATTGTGGCACCCATTAACCTAAAACCTATGAATGTTGTTTTGATCAACTGTAGATGTTCACAAAAATCATAAAGAAAAACAGCTTTACTTGGTACCTTATTCAACATAAAACTGAAAACTTTTACTCTGCTATAACATTAAGCATTGAAGAGAGAAATGGGGTAAAGAAAAGAGAGAGATTTTAGTTGAAGAGTCCTATTTTCAAGAAAGTTTTACTTATTGAAACTGAGAGCAATCTATTCTTGGATTTTACAGTAATTGCTGACACACACTCAACAATTAAACAGAAGAATGAAAACATTTGTCAGTTTAAAAAGAGGACGATCAAAACAATGTTTAGGACTAATTAGTTTTTTCTTTTAAAGTTTGAGTTAATATCTCAAACACCCTTTAAACTATTTATATTTTATCAATTTAAAATACTAAGGAGTCCTTGTTGTAAAGAATAATTTATAAAACGTAGAGTCATTTTATTTTGTATTTGATGGGAGATATTAAGTAAAAAGTTATCTCATATACACATTAAAATAATTTATTTTGTGATACTTAATTTTGAAATAATTAAACGATTCAAAAAGTACTATAGAGTATAATTGCTATTTAGTTATGTTAAAAAAACTAACAATATATTTAAAACCTAACAAAATTTTTGTTGTTTAACTAAATTTATTGAATTTTTTTTCTCTACTTCATAATTTCCAATAATAACTTTTTTTATAACAATAAATTCAACTAAAAATTTACATTTTAAAGATAATAGCAAATTCAATCAATAATAATGGAAGTGGACAGTCTCAATTTAGTGACTTGGTCTAATTCAATTATAAATTAGAAAAAAATTATTCAATAATGTTAAAAATTAAAATATTAAAAGATAATGTAGACTATAAAATATTACTCCCTACTTCTATAAGGTGGCATCGGAATTTGGTTCAACTTCTGGCGATTGACATAAATCCATCATGCCGTCACTTACTTGTAACCGGTTTGGAAATGAATTAGAAGATTAATTATAAATGAATTTATATATTGTTTTAAATATGTATCTAGTTAAGTAAAAAATAGTTATTAATGTATTAATTATTTTATTTTTTAAATTTGTATAAAATAATACATAGTTTTTTTTCTAATTTATACATGTATTAATTAGAGATAATTTTAAATTGTCAATCAAACGTCGTATTAATTTTATATGTGAATAACATATTTTTTATCTTCCTATCAAACATCGTATTAATGAACATCTATTTTTAAAGCGTGTTTGAAATTGCTATTGGGAGCCCAGAAGCACTTATTTTGAGAAAAAATCACTTTTTTTTTGAAAAATCAAGTGTTTGGTAAATCTGTAAAACTGCTTTTAATTGGAAACAAAATCAATTTATTTATTGTTGAAAGAAGCTAAAAATTTCTATTTCTTAAAAAAAAATAGAAGCAGAAAATTATTTTATTTACATATATCTCACATGTCTAGTTAAGTTCCATTCAATAATTTTTTTTATTTTTTTTATATAATAAATTTATATTTTATTTTACGTTTATTGATTAATATTTTACGTATTATTTTACAGAATTAGGAGAAAAAAAAAGGTAACAACAATATTTTTGTAAGATTAGACAAAAAGTAAGAAAATAACAATTTAAAGATTTCAACCCTTCAAAAAAACGTATAATATTGATTGAAAATTTGATGAACATTTTAACTTAATAAAAATAAAAGTTTAATTTATTTTTTTTGTAATAGATGTTTAAACTAGTTTCTCTCTATAAAATAATCTTAATATTATAAGTACATTAATATTTGCCCTTAATCGTAATTTGACTCTCACAAACATTTATTAAAAAATATTAGTCAAACACAATTTTCTTATAAAAAACACTTTTCAAATGAATTATTAGCCAAACAATTTTATTTATTTTTTAAAAATCACTAGTCTGAAAAACTATTTTTTAAAAATATTTATGAAAATAAGCAGTATTTAGGAGGAATGTCAACACATGCTCTTAGTACAGACGATTTGTAAATAGGAATGGAGCAAATATGATATTCCTTTCGCTCCTATTTATATGTCGTCATTACTAAAATAGATGGTCCTTAATACTTTTTATGTTCCCTTTTATTTGTCACTAATTTCTAAAATAGATTTTTCATTTTTACTGGTCACTTTTGAAATATCAAGAAAAAGACAGTTATTTTTTTTTATTTTTTACCCTTAGCATTAAATATTATTCTTTATATCATTTTTCATGACTTAATACTAAACATTAATTAGTAGGGATGATATGGTAAATACTTATATCAATAATTCTTTTTTTAACGACTGTGTCAAGTCAAATAAAAATGAATAGGGGAGTATTGGTCATTTCACAAAATCAATGTGTAGATGACAATATTCTTCCTATTTTATCCTTCAGAGTTATTAGCTTTGAAAGAATAAATTTGACTAACGTAGAAAAATTAAATGATCATTGGTCAATTTAATTAATCAAAGTAAATTAATTTATGTTCATTTATTGAAAAGTTGACTGTAAGAGA